CAAAGTTTGACCAGTTAAGAATGCTTGTCGCCAATTAGGTGCTGTTCTACACACTAGTATCAATCAAGACCGTCGCATAAAGCGTTTAATTCGTGTTACTTTGTCAGCACTTACGAGACAGCGTTTCTTCGGAAAGGAATGTAGCTTTCTCTAAGCACGGACTTTATTGGTGACATGCAATTGAGCCCTCCCCATTTTACAAATAGTCTGGAAGCCCGTGCAAAAGACGCATTATTAGCGCAGAGGAGACCGGGCATAGTTCCAGGAATGTCTGTCAAAGTCTCATCGAATCGATCACAACAGAATTCGTTACGTCGCCACGCCGACAAAGCTAAAGATTCTAACGCATCCATCATGCCGTCAAATGCGGATTTGCCTACTTTCGTACAGCTCTTATTCGACACGGGAGATTTGATTCAAAGCGAATTAAGTGCTCATAATGAGCATGTTACTTAGATACTCAGATCGAAATGAAGCTGAAAAATGAGCTGTACTGCACAATTTTGTCATTACCTGGAAATTCCGACTCATTATAGTATCTCAATGTTTTTCTGTGCATTTTTAAAGTTTTAAGACCATCTATGTTCTTAGCTGACTCAATTATGCTTGAAAACTTGCTATCACGAAACAACAAGCTGAAAAACGACATGGTCTGTACGAGATCGTACAATGTTGTCTCCAAATCACTTGTTTTTACGAAGGTTGAATTCATGACACAATATAAGTGAAGGCTCAACGCGCATTGAAGCTGTACAGGAGTCACGCCGGCTGCTTATTTCTCGTCTTAGGTTGTGACAGCTTGTTAAAGATTCCCGTTCGAACAAAATTTTACACTGTGTGCTGCAGGGTTAAGACTTATCATATCTGAATTTGTAGCTACCTCCCCATTTCTTTTTGATCGTCTTGATCCTTTCTAAACGCTAATGACTGTAGAAAGCGACATCTTTTGGCTGCAATGTAAAAAAACACATCGACACATGTTAAGTAATTGTCACTTCCATGGTCAGGTACTCCTTTCGTACCTAAAATCAGCTGCACGAGCGCGCATGGAACTGAGTTTGTAATTAGAGTTGCCGCCTCCAGAATCTAGATTATCTACATTCTTAATGTCACTCTTGATTGCTGAATTTGGCTGGTAGCATCGTTATAAATTACGCTCGTGCTGTTATGCAATTAAACTTAATAGTTACGTCTCAAAATGGCGGTCGTGGCCAAAAATTTATACAAACAAGAGATCTCCTCTACATTGGAAAAACAGCTCCTAGTCTTAGACATATTTCATATTACCTAAGCATAAACATCCCATCTGAGTAAACTCTTTCTTTTCCTGCACTCTTCTTATCAAATGATGCCGTCCTTTCTTCATCCTCTGTGGCTCGTGACTTCTAACCATGCTGCATTAAAACTTATCCATTGCCATTCATGAACGGATTTACATAATCCGACAGCGTATACTAGATATGTGTTGCTGCTTACCAATCTTATTTGTAGAGTGAATTCACAATAATGCTTGGTAGCCGCTATTTTTGATCATCTTGCGGAGGCTCATCTGGCTAGTAAATTACTCTCAAAACTTGCCTTGAGTCGGTACCCAGCATTCATGTGTAGCAATGCTATTGTCAACACTTAAAACACCAAAGTGTGCACGCATGAAAAATTGTCAAGCATTGCTGTAGAGTTGTGTGGTCTAGAACATTTTAAGAACAGTTATCGTGAGTGTGGGTGTAATTTAATTCAGATCCACACAATATTATAGGTACTACAGTCATTCCTCGAATAACTCATAGGCTTGGTGGAGACAAAATCTACGAATTAGCCGAGTGATGAGTTACGCTTATTTCCAATCTTCTTTTCGTGAATTAAAAGCCAATAAATCAGCGGTCTCCCCTCTGAATTTTTTATAAGGATGTTCCATGTACTGCTTCACCAATGCACAAAGGCCCGATCTTTTCCAGTAGAAGGCCAAGAAATATAAATTGAGCCAAAGTGTTCTGGAAAATTGAGCTTCTCGCGCGTTTGTGTTCATCAGCTCACCCAGAGCAATTTCTCACTCATTTTCAAGAAGCGTACTGATCTAGAGTGTATGACAGATGACAAACTTTTCGCCAAAAGCCCGGGAGGCGCTCATACAAGGAATGTTTCCTTGATTGGTAATATCATCGAGGTCAAGTTCTAGGTGTTTATGAATGCATCAGGCTTCTGAGGGCACCACCAGATTCTCCAGTGGTTAGTCGCAACACTTCCAGCAGCGAAACAAGCTGCGCAGCATCAGGAATATGTATGGCGAGAGTAGTAAAGCAAATGGGGAAGCTATGGATGCAGCATTGCCTGGACTTCGGGATGTAATTGCATGCTACGAGCCCTGATATGTTTTTTGCATGACGAATGTTGTGTGAGGATCAAGACATCTTTATTTTTACTGATAATGTACAAAATTGCAAATGTTTAGACCCATTTACAACATCCGATCGAGAAGGGAGCTCCGCAGAAAGAGATTGAGGGTCTGACGAGATAGAAAGCCAGAGGTGATTTGATTCCTGGTAAGGTTTCAAAGGTCGGGAACGTACAAATTGATACACGCTTACCTTCCTTTTGGGTACGGATCTCATTCTACTTCACGGCCAGTGCGAATGGTATTTTGAATGTCTATCCGTATAACTGCCACCCCTCAGAGCACCTTAATATCTTGTATTTACTGGTTTAGTGCAATCAGACACTTAGTCTTCTTTTAATCATGCATTTTTATTCAGTAATAGGTTTTCCTTCAGTAAAAAAACAGATGTATCTTTGTCCTTCGGAAAACTAATCAATTCCTGATAGTCATGAGTTACGAGTTATGAGTTAGCGACCATAGAACGAGCTTGGTGGAACGCAATTTGTATGAGTTATGTCAGTTACGTGGATGTGACTTATTCAAGGAATGACTGCAGTACTAGATGTGGACAGACACTAGTTTTGGGAAATTGTGCTGGCAGAGGCACAAGTAGTGGGAAAAGCTCCGTGTGGAATGCGTCAGTCAAGCTGAAAAATAGTACATAAAGTGCCAGCTTCTTAGAAGTTGCAAATACCGATGGCTACTGGCTTAAACCCGGTTGGAGGGATATCTAGAGCGCAAAAAGCGGAGAAGAGGCTTGTCCTTCCCAATAATTCCCATCCTTATCCACTTTTCAAACTTGACCATGGTATCAAGTGCTTTTTATCTCTCGCTTACTTTTTTCTTCCTTCTTTCTTCGAGCGTCAACAGGTCAGCAGTCCCACCACAACTGACCAAAACCAAAGTCAAAAGTATCGTCGTCGCGTCCGTTGCCGCTGCTGTAACTTGCTCATTGTAGACAACCGACCGACCGATTGACCGATTAACCGACCTCGTCTGTTTCAATGGCCGACCGTATCCGAGCTTCCGTCCCGTCTGCAGCGCCCGTCCCGTCTGCAGCGTCCGTTGCCAGTGACGTCGGTGCTTTTTCAGCCGCTTCAGTCGACTCGATGCCGTTCTCAATGGCCGCCAAACGCGCTGCCGCCGACGCCTTCGAGGGCGCGAGTGGTGAGGAGTTCGAGTCCAACGGATCCAGTGAGCAGACGATCGACGGTGACGTGGTGGTCCGTCCTTTGGTCAAGAAGAGCAAATGGATTGACGAGGAGCTTCCGGATGTCGATGAGGAGGAGGAATTTCCACAGCAGAGGGACGAGAGAGACGACGAGGAGTTGACTCGGGACTTGGTAGTGGATGGAGAGAAGGAGGGGATGGAGACGGTGACGATGGACGAGGGGGTGAATTCACGCGTGCGAAGCGGGAGTCAGGAGATGGAAAGCGTGGATCTGGGTACAGGGAGAAGCAAGGAGGTGATTGATTGGACAGAAGAAGAAGAGGAGGAGGAGGAAGAGGTGGATGAGGAAAGGAAGGTGCTGGCTGGTCGAAGCTGTGGCATTGATATTGTGGATGTTGAGGATGCTGAAGAGGAAGAGGATGGAGATGGCGACGGGTATGAGCAGTCCAGTGATCGCGACATTGAAGAGGAGGAGGAAGAAGAGGAGGAGACGGCGCAGGTTATTGGACGGGCTCGGAATCAGAGAGAAGCGAGGCAATTGTTGCAGCAGCTGGATGGCTCGACGCGAAGCAAATTATGTCTGACGGTGCTGGAAAAGTACGGAGAGGAGCTTTTGTACGGACACGAAGATGCACGAGATGCCATTTTGGTGGACGCCTGTGCTCAGGAATCGGCGTTGTCGTTGGTGAGGGACGCTGTTCGGATAAGGGACTTTTACGCGAGGGGGTCGTCGGCAGAAGCGCCTGTCGAACTTGATGATGATGATGATAATGATGATAGTATTGATGAGGATGAGGACGCCGTGGTACTGGGCGCTGGTGATGTTGAAGAAGAAAGAGAGGATGAAGCTGGAGGGTATGAAGATGAAGTAGAGGATGCGGATGAGGATGGCGAGACACTTGCTGGTGGGGATGATGACAATGATGATATTGTTGTTATTTCAGAGGAGGAGGTGGAAGAAACACTGATATGCGAGCAATACAGCGAGAGTCACCACGCTGGACCTACGACCGATGACCTCGAATGTTGCGAAAGTGGGAAGAATGGCGACGCACGCTTGGAAGACACTTTACAACCTGTTGACAATGTTGGCGGTGGTAAGCTTGACGATGATAAATACAGTGGTGACGACAACGAAAAGGAAGAAGACATGGACGGCGAAACTGCAGCACAGTAAGGGGTTCGTAAATTAATTTTAACATCAAAAGAATCGTCGGGAGGTTTTTGCTGATTGTTTTGTGACACAAAGTTCTGTTTGGTTGTGGTGTTGACAGCCTGATCCTATTATTGATAGTTGAGAAGCTCTGGCCGCGGTTGCTGGCTCGGGGGCATTTTTCATACGCATCTGATAAACGTACCAGGACATACATTTACTAAATGTTGTCCTCAGAAAATGTATGAGGACACATGAGCCTATCCGACAGAATGCAGCCATCGGAATGAATGGACGTCGTATCACGAGAATCTTGTCTTCCTGTCCTCATAGTATCGGCGGTGACTCGGGTCGAGCTTGATTGCCCGTTCGTACAGTTCCACGCTCTGCTTCTTGGAATCCTGCCAGCCATCGACGGAAGTCATTGCACCTACACGGTCATGTACATCAGCGAGCGTGACAACGACCCACTTTGCGTCCTTCTCCATATCTAGCAATTGCTCCAGCCACTGCACTTGGGTCTTCAAGAACCCAGCTGCATCCTCGAGCGACGGCTTCATCAGGTCCAACATCGATGTCAACAGCCAGCGGTAGTAAAACCACGCACTTTGGTCATCCGGCTCCGTGAAAACGGCTTGTTGCACAAATTCGATCTCACTCGACAGCACGTCAACCGTTATCGGTTCGGGCAGAACAGTACTGCGATGATGCAACGCCGAGTAGTTCGAGAAATTCTGCTCAATCTTCTTAGTAGTGAACGCCAACTGCTCGGTTTTAGACACTCCAGCCATTTCACAGACGTATCGACGGTAGTTCCAGCAGTGAAAGTTACGCTCGTCTTGATTTTCAAAGAATGACATTAACAAGATAAGTCAAAAGGTTAGATAAGTACAACACCACGAAATCGAGTCACTCACCGAGATCCAGCAGCTTGTCACACAACCCAATCTCCCTCTTTAAATCTCCCAGTCCTTGGTCAATAATCCACTTTCGCTGAAACCAAGCCGAGTAGGACTTGGGATTCCGTTGCAACGCGTTCTGTTACACGAACAAGTGTCAAATTTCGTGTCGTAGTGCAACATTCGTACCACATCCCACAAAACATCTCGTACCAAGGTCATTTCAAGTTCTCTTTTCGCCATTTCCTGCATTTTAGACGCACAGTTATCCGCTTTTTTGGCCAGAGCAGTAATGACCTGACGACGATAACTCCAGAGCATGTGGAACTCGGGGTTTAGCAGCAGCAGGTGGCTGGTCAAAGGCAGCACGCTGGGCTCGTAGAGCTGCTGCCGCTTCATTTCTAGCACTTTGCTTGCCACGTCGTGGTACATGCGCACTTTAGAGACCTCTTCTTGGCGCTGCTCGATTGTCTTCTGCTGTTCATGCTCGCGCTCGATGCTCTTGACACGCCCGTGCATGCTGTCGGATTGGGTGGGACGTTACCGGTTATATATGTTTTTGCTGCGTCTTTTTGGGTGGCACTCGAGTGAGGGATGAGTGGCAAGGACCGAATTGGAGTTACGGCGTGCAGTATTTGAATGTGGCTGCTTCATCTACGTTATATCGAGTGTTTAGGGGACTTTATTGATTTTGACGCAGACGCGACAGATACATTTCGGGTTTGCAGTCCCTCTCTCTCGGGCAAGCGCCATCCCGCGTGAACCGGATCTCACCGATTAGGAGCCCCTATTGATCTAAACAAAGGAATCTGTCTAAATTGATACAGATCTTCACACACATTCGAAGCTTGATGTTTTATTACATGAAGGGTGCAATCGGATAGCCCCCGCCATTCCTTTGTTTCAACAAGCACACTCTTCCTAAAAATTATAGTAACTACGTCGAGCATTTTTTTCAGTGACAAAGGCTCCAGTTGGATAGCTTTGCTGGCTTTCGAGTTTATAAAAGAGACGTATTTGATTTCAAGATCTCCAATACTCGAACGGATACGAGTAGATGTGAGCTCACAATTACTTGATTATATAAACCCGTGCTGGGCAACGCTTACATCTCGTAGAAAGCTATGCAAAATCGATACATAGTCGTCGCTTCACCTTTTGGGACGATCGAAACAACATCTGATGACGCACTTTTGGTCCAAAGCTCGCGAGGAAGTCCTCATCGTTTGAAGATGTTTCCGCTGTATTTTGTGAGTCTGTACAGCGTGTCGGTTGCGCTTTCTCTCGAATCGATTCTGCGGCTGAAACGATAAACTGCAACTCCTCATCACCACAATCATCTTTCAACAAAGTCCAACATGAAGATCATTACTAAGTTATCCCCTTGCTTCATGATAGTGTCAGCGATAAAGATTGCATTTTGTGCTGCTGTGTAGCGCAGGCACGGCAGTCCAGATGTACCAAGAAGAATATGGCCATGTGTGTGAGAGAAAGCTGAGGTAGAGGGAATATCAGGGCAGGGAACTGCATAACAGAGGAATGTGCGTCCGGTACAAACGAGAGATGAGGTGGAGTGTGCCTCTGGTAAGAATGCGGCGTGTGCGTTGAACATCTCCAAGGATACAATAACTATCCCTTCAGCTTTCATATCAACGAACGATTCGACATTGCGAGTGATGAAAAGCATGTAGGTGCTCGAAGTCTCGGAAGTCGGACGATTCCAGGGTGTAGCAACTGTAAGAGCAAACCTAACATAGTCATGCAGTCGTCTTGACCGGCGTCGTCAATGTACGAAAGACAGCAGATGCTGACGATTGGCGATCCTGTTTTTCACACTGCCATTTCGCTTCCCACATGTCGCACTGCTATGTATTCTGCATGGCCGTGTTAATGCTACCTCCGACAATTTGGTCGATATGCATCGATATTGTGCCGACACTTTGCTATCTATATTGTGCAGTGCACTGCCGTCTGCAGTGCTGTCTTCAAACGCAGTTGATCAGTCTGTTGTTGCATAGTATGTGGCGAGCGACCGTCCCAAATAATGTGGAGAACTTACCCGACTGTTCGAAATGTCCGTACAAAATCGAAGACGTCATACATGCGCGACGATCGAGATTACGGATTCATCATGTTCGCGAACGCGTACAGTGAAGCCCACCTAGGGCACTTTTCGTATGCTTAGACTATGACGTTTGTAAACGACTTAGCACAGACCTTCATGATGACATTGCTACCCTCATGACTAAGACACCATACATGAAATTGAGACGGCATGAGATCTGTTCCAGTAAATTGTTGTAAACGAGTGCTTAGAGGTTTGGCCACAAAGACTGCATGTTAAATGGTCGTACCGTCGGTTAACACTGAAGTATTCGGCTTTGATAACTCAGCCCCGTTTCAGTGGAGTTGTATGAATATGACACGGCAACATACGGGGACAGGTAGAGGATGTGTGTTAGACTATGTTTACCAGGCAAAAGTTCCTACACTGAAGTCTCAAATGACATGCGTTACGGACGAATCCGCGACGCTGGAAATAGAGGCCGATAACAATTTCTTGGCGCGTGGCTTTGTCGCTCCAGATCGATGACAGCGCATCGGACAATCGCGCGTTTCTCCGACTGGTTGTGTCCCCATCGGTAGCTCGTACACGACATATGTACAACGTATAGTTTCTTTTTTGCTGCTAAATCACCGGCGCGTTGCAGCTATGCAGTTCACGCAGCCCAATGTGACAAAACCAAGTCGATCAACGACGACAGTGCTAACAGTCCTTTATCCTGAACTTTATGAAGAACTTAAGAAGGCGCTGCACTGTTTTTTTTGGCCCCATCGATTTAGTTCTCCTTTGTTGACTTCCTACAAGCCCTTCGTATTCGCACAATATCATATTGAGCTTGTAGAAGACTTGACAGCAACTAAAACTACCGTAGACGAATTTTTCTGAGACTTGACAGCAGGTTAACTTCAGTGAACAATCTTTTGAAGAATTGACAGTGTCTGAACCACCGCAGACGAAATCGAACACCAGCTGTGAGGTACAACGGTTGAAAAGTCTCACGTATCTTTCTGTTGCCAGAAGACGAGTAGTGCCTGGATGCGCAGACGGACAATCCATGTGATGATAGGAATTCTTTTTCGTTGCGCATGCCGAATGTTGTTTCTCGCTTCAGCGTGTCAACTTCACCGAACGCAGAGATGTTTTACTGTGCTCATGATCGCGTCATATGTAATGGAGTGACGACATGATGCATTTTGTACTGTAATAAAGCAGCGTGGAATCAAATTGAGCTCCTTACGAGCTCCTACAGCATTGAGGCATCTTAGCACCGAATCTAGGCAGTGCTCATTGTCAAGCACGTTCTATGCAAACATACGGTGACTTTGTTCAGAAGTTTTACCGGAACAATTTGTGAATGAGATTATTTATTTTGTGAGATCTTTAGTGATTCCTGACGCAACGTGCGTCAGGGTAAGTGGTTCGTAACACACCGTGCTTTCGTAATAGATTGAGATCGATGATGTTACGGGGTGAGCCTATAACCCTTGATACCTGTTGTTTAAACCATTATCGAAAAGGTTGATGACAACTTAATTAACAAGTATCAAGGGTTGCTAACAAGAAACATGCTTACTGTAATGGGGTAGCCTGTTCATGAAATTGACACCAAACGGTGTCAATAGGAATATCGTCTAGTATGACAATATTCTACCAATATTATTCGGGATGGATAATATTGAACAAATATTATCCCCCTTTTGCATAATATATATGCGCTGCTCTATGATTGGTTGACAAAAGACAAATCAACCATAGATTGCCACCAATCGCTGCTAGACGCGCGCAATGAGAGGTGAGCAGGTTGTCGTCATACGACGGCGCAGTTTAACATAGTTAGATAAAGATTGAAGTTATATTTATAGCTTAACTATGTTAAATGCAGTTCTTTTTTTACCTTTACTTGACCGAGTCGTTCAAGTAGATTAGCTTCCTCTGCACGTACTAGCGTACGTGAAGTTTCGTGGCACCCAGACAAAGGGTGCCCCGTTACACTTACCCCGTTACATCACCCCTTTTGAAAGATAGTCACTCAGTCACTATCATGTTAATGTGGTCACCTTTAGACTACATCGGGGATAGAGAGCAATCATTTTGGTCTTACGAGTTCATTTCTGGATTTTCATTGCATGGTGAATAACTCCATGCGATGCGCGGCGAAAGCTGCTGAGAAGGCAGCTGCGAGTGCTAACGCCACTGAGGCTGGGCATCGTCAAGATGCCCAGCCTCTCGCGTCACATGACGCTCTGTGTGCTGACGCTGCAACTCTTCCTACAGCACCAGTTTCGGAAGAGGCATGTGGTAACTCAACACGTGCTTATATTGATGGCTCACAAGTGGAGATCATCTATTCGGGGGAGTCGAAAGGTGGTTCCGACTCGAAGAAGATACCTAGGTCGCCCGAGTCTATACACCCACCAAAAATAAGAGTCTGCGAATAGTACTCGAGTGGGTAGCGAGACTCTTGGTCACTACAACAGTATGTTTAGTTCGGAGGGTGAGCATGCTGACTCCCCCTCTTCTCCTGCTGCTTTGTATTGTCCTTCTAGCAAATGCGGTAATGAATTGCGCCGTTGTGATAATGTTTCTAGTGGTACCAAGACTTCTGTTTGTATCACGCAGAAGGCGATAGACGGAAGTGGGCTGCGTCTAGCCCCTGGACACAAGCCTAGTGTAATACCAGAAAGGCTTGTGAATGACATGTCAAGCTAGACGAGTCTCCATCATCGAATTCCATGATTCGACGCAAGGCTGTTACACGGCCTCGACATCAGCGCGAGCAATTTCGAGCTGGAAAAGACTTCTATTTGGATGCAGTTCCGAAGAATCGCTGGTATAGTGGAAACACTATGCGGTACAAAAGATCGTTGCTGCAGGCGTGGAACGCCTTTGTACTCAATGTGTAGCACATGGGGCGCGAAGCTTAGCTTTAGAAACTTTACACAGCTCGTGTTAGGTTTGAAAAACGAACGTTTTCTGGTGCAAAATTTAGGTTGCTTAATTTGTTTCGTGAGGAAAGAACTCCATGCCTCTCGTGGAGCGGCCCATGTCCGTGGTGTTTCGACAGCACTCAAAGCATCCAAAGGGAAATGTACTTCATTTCTTCGCCTTAAGGTACGGAACACATCTATTCTGAGATGCGATGCGATTGCTAACCTGCAATCAATCTACCAGCGCCACGGGCTCGTGTTTTCCGATGATTCTTTTGATTCATCGGATGTGTCTCGTCGTACTGGTGGACGAGACCCTCAACGTCAATCGTCATCTGGGCGCAAGGCATACAGCTGTCGTGTGACAGAGGATAGCCGCGCAAGCAACCAAGATAACTCGTTCGCTGCCCCCTCACGTCACGGTGGATCAAGATACACTCCTCGTGAAAGCGTTGATCACAATGCGAGTCTACCAATGACTGTGGTGGGGGCGGAGAGATCAATTCCAGGTGGTTTGAGGGAGTTGC